TTTTTTTTTGGGTTTGGATGAGGCATGGGGCTATGGCATGTCAGTGTGCATTAGAGTCCAAGCCACCTTGCTAGCAGCAACAAAACTTATATGTAACGGCGATAACACTGTTTTCTTATCCCTAACTAATAACATAATAACATGTGGAATGTCATTGTGTTATTGACTGGGACAACAAAAAGTGTTATTCCTGTTATATAAAAGTTTCTCTCTATTAACAAATTCTAGTGTAACTGGGATTTGGGGCTGACCCACATTTAAACGAATTAACGTGACTTTCTGATTGATTTAAAAGGCATGTAACATCATAGTTCGCATTGGGACTAATTCCAAGGTAATACCAAGTTGATATGTTGTTCCTAGTCCATTTTATATGTTATCAGTCAAATATGGCAGCTACAATATTAATTAATATTGTGACTATTTAGGGTGACGATGGTGACGTTGCGGACCTAGTCCTAGGAGCGGCAGTGACGTCCCTGTCATATTTCTTTCAGGAATGATATTATAGGGCATGTTTACGTATCAGTAATAAAGAAAGTAAGGAATCAGAGAATTTAGGAATCGGGGAACTACTGAATCAGTATGGGAAGAATAATTCCCATTAAGTTGTTTACTAAACATATGAAATTAGCAAAAGAATGAGATTGATTCCCATTGTTATTGTTTACTAATTTGCATGAATTAGAATCCAAATTAATTTTAGAATTATGATAAAGTGATAAAGGTATTTTTGGAAGTTATTAAGAGAAAACAGGAATGAGAATCGTATCGACTACTCCCCCTAGTTGATTTGATACCTAGTTTTGAGGGAATATGATTATGAATTTTGAAGTGGGGCCCACTTATTTTTTTCATTCCTGATTGCAAGTAAACGCAAGAGAAGTCAGGAATGGAGCAATTTGAAGGCAATAAGGATATTGACAACATCCCTGTCAAACTAATCAGAAAGTCTAAGCTAGGAGATTACTAATAGGAACAGCTTTGATAAATATTAAATACTGATAATTCTCGATGGAGTATTAGAACAGAAAAATTCATTAGATAATGAACTATTGGTTTTAAGCAAGGACAATACTACTAACAAGCTAACCTGGGCTATAGCCTAGGAGACTTTTTAAAAAAAGACTAAAATAGTACCCTAGCCTAAACCAATCTTATTAACTAATCCCCACTAGGCTGGCTAACCAAGCGAAAAAAAAACCCAACACTCTTATTGATCGGCTGCACCAGTTCCAAGGCTGCTTCTTCTCAACTCCATAGAGGTCTTCTTCCTCCACTTTTGTATTGGGCTATTGTTTTTTTGGGGAATTCTAGTAACAATTATGCTAATTTGGAAAATGACTATTTTGAATATATATTATTTTAAATATATGTTATTTTAATAGCGGTATCAAATACGGGGTTTTTGAGGAGTAAGGCTCATTATGTCCCCCGTGTATTTTTTTGTTACTTATATATAACGGAAATATTACTGTTTTGTTATTCCTAGTCAATAACACAATGATAAGTGGAAAATTTATTATACATGTCATTGCGTTATTAGCCGAGGATGCATGAGAGTTTCTTTATGCCAGCAGATTCGGGTGTAACTGAGATTTGGGGCTGACACACAAAGAAAAAAACAATCAAACGAATCAACGTGACTTTCTGATTAATTTGAAAGACATGTAACATCATAATTCGCATTTGGAGACTAAGTCCAATGTAATACCAAGTTGATATGTTGTTCCTAGTCCATATATATGTTAAGTAAAGTATTAATTAATACATTATATTACAGAAAGATACATGATTTAATATTAATAAATACATTATATTATAGACAGACAGATGATTTGTCAAGTTGTTATTGCCTAATTTTGTTTTCTTTGGAAACTCCCGAGCCCTATATAAAAGGTACTTTCTGTACAAAAACGCTCCATGTAACCAACTAAGGTCAGATATCATATATAGAGAGAAAGAGGAGGCAGAGGAATTAATAATGTCAATGCAATTGCTAGGTCATCATCATGTGATCATGTTCGTATTGTTGTTTTGGTGCAGAATAGTTACCGAAACCAAACCAGCGTCATCATCAGTATTGCACGACGCACTGCGGAATTTATAACTGATGATATCGCATTTTTATGTATTTTAATTTCTAATTGTCATTACATAAACAATTTTTTTATAACTAAAATTCACCATCAATAAATATGTAATGACAATTAGAAATTAAATTCATAAAAATTTAAATGTTTCCATTTGATAAAGTTAAATGTTTCGTACAAAAATAAGCTCCTTGTGCCCCTATAAGGTCCCTTGCTGCCTCCAATAAGCAATCTGTGTTTAATAGGAAAAAAAAATTGACAATCACAAATTAAAGAGTAGTTGCACACAAATGTCATTAACAAATTAGATTATATTGCATTAAACACAAAAGCAACAATAAAAACATACCCGATTATCCAAAAATCATTCACATTGTATTTGCTGTCTTATTTGAAGAATTAAAACTATTACGAGAGCCTGTTTAATACTTTGGCAGTTGATGCCAAGGTCAGCGTTCGGCTTTAATAATTAATAATAATTGCCTTTTTCCCCAAAAAAAAAAAAAAACTATTACGAGAGCTTTCACCCAAGAAGAAAAAAAACATAGCCAGTACAATACTAATGTCTGAAATTTGATCTTCTTGAATTTTTAGAAGAGAAATCATCAATCAAATGTTCATAATCAAGTTTTTCAAGAAGTTCACTTTCAATTGAAATCAAAGCTAGTCCGTTTAATCTTTCTTGCGACATAGTTGATTGCAAGTATGATTTTAACAATTTTAATTTTGAAAAACTTCTTTCCACAGATGTAACAGTAACATGAATAGTCAATAGGATTCTATATGCAATGAATGCATTTGGAAAACAATTTAATCTTTTCAAGAAATTTAATATTGCAGTAGCTGTGGTATTTTCTTTTGGTAAAGGCTCCCGTAAAACTTTCAACTCAACAAATAAATCCTTCCCATCGACATCAAAAAACTTGTCATTTTTCAAAATGCTTTCCAGATGATTGTAACTATTCTTCAAATAGTAATCATCCAATGAATTTAACATCTCTGAAGTAAACAAAAACCCAAAAATATTCTCATACTCTTGATATTGTTGAAACCTTCTTCGTAAAGAACCAATAGCTTGATCCACAAAATACAAGAAATAATCAATTCTAAACTTTTCTTCAGCTGATTCAGGAACTGATTGGGATGGCTCACAAGTATTCTCATCCAAATGTTTTTTTCTACGAATTTTTCGCTTCTCAGGAAACACCGGGTCAATTCCCACATCAGTAGCAATTTCTTTAGCATTACACATAGCTTATGTAAACCCATTTTCTCATATACTTTTCAAAAAAAGTAATCAACCCTTTCACTTTATCAATAGCAACATCAATAAGCATGTCTTCAGATTGTAAGTTTTTGCTAACTACATTGACAACATCTAATATATCATACCAAATAACCATCCCCAATAAGAACTCAAAATTTCCAAGTTTATATGTTGCCAAAAAATTAGCTTCACTTGTTATTTTGGAGCCACCGTCACTTTCTGCTAGCTGAAGTAAAGCTTCTCTTATCAAACAGGCCCTGATCAGTAAAATATTTAGGAAGTCCAAGCTAGAAGGTTACTAAATTATTTTGAGGAATGAAGGAGCAATTTCAAGCAATGAGGATATTGGCAACGTCCCGGTCAAACTAATAAAAAAGTATAAGCTGGGAGATTACTAAATGAATTCTGAGAAATGAACGAGAAATTTCAAAGCAATGTCCTGTCAGTCCCCCATTTATTCAAAATTTGATTTGTTACCCTTTTGCTTTTGCGCTATTAAATTTCTACCATAAGTTGTTATAGCCTAATTTTTTTTTTCCTTTGGAAACTCCCGAGCCCTATATAAAAGGTACCTTCTCTACAGAAACGCTCCATGTAACCAACCAAGGTCAGATATCATATATAGAGAGAAAGAGGAGGCAGAGGAATTAATAATGTCAATGCAATTGCTAGGTCATCATCATGTGATCCTGTTCGTTTTGTTGTCTTGGTGCAGCATAGTTACCGAAACCAAACCATGGCCAGCGTCATCATCAGTATTAGCTCCGCCTATAGCAAAGCTAAATTGCACGACGCACTGCGGAATTAATGTCAGCATCCCTTACCCTTTCGGCGTTGGACCAAACAAAGATTGTTACTTTAATGAATGGTTTCAGATAGACTGCAACGAGTCTACTGGGCACAAGCCTTTCTTGAGGCGCGTCCAAATGGAGGTGCTCAACATTTCTATTGATGGCACCCTTCAGGTTAAAAGCCCTGTTACTTTCTTCGGCGGTTGCAAGGGAAAGGAAACTCACCAAGCCCCAAATTTGACGGGAAGCCCTTTTGTGTACTTGGACAGAAAAAACATGTTCACTGCAGTCAGCTGCGGCCGTCTTGCTACCATGAGATCAGATGAGAATGTTGTTCAAGGATGCAATTCAACTTGTGACGATCAGAGTACAGATAGTGCTGCTTATCGCTGCGGTACCAGTGGAACTAACTGTTGCCAGACTACCATTCCTCCAAATATCAGCGTTTTCACTGCTGAGATACAGCCAAGAGATCAAATTGATGGTTGCAACTATGCATTTCTTGTTGACCAAGATTGGTTTTTGAAGAATTTATCAAGCTACAGAGCTATCCAAGGAATGGACAGCGTTCCCGTGGTGCTGGAATGGAACATCAGCTTAGACAACACTTCACACAAAGCATTTGAAGGATTTATTGGAAGAAAAGTACGTCAGTATGATGGAAATAACTTTAATAACGACTCAACACCCTATTGCGAAATATATAATGCCACTACTTCGACATACAATCAGTCAAGCGTTCATTGCTTCTGTCCGGGGGGCTTTCAAGGAAATCCTTATCTTCTCCATCCTTGTCAAGGTACGTACGTAATTAATTAAAACCCTTCCATTCCGTTATCCAAGCTTTGTTCTGGAATGAGCCAACTTCACCATTCATCATCATGTTCATTTGTCTTTCTGTTATTATATTACAGATATTGATGAGTGCAAGCTTAATCGGTGTATGGATCCTGGAATGCTATCTTCATTGAATTTCAGTGGCAGTCCTATGTGTAAGAATTTCGTTGGTGGTTTTACATGCTACTCAAATGTAACTGTTTTAGGTGTTCCTACATGTGAATATTATGGTGAATATTATTCGAGATGCTACTACAAGCCAAAGCCGCCTCGGCCCTCTCGGGCCTATCGAATCAGAGCTGTTCTTTTAGGTATGCTCTTATACTGTTTAGAGTTCATTATTATTAATATAGACCAATTCCGTGCTAAAATTGTTGGGAAAAACCCTTGTAGTATATGCTTATTGAATCTAGGCTCAATTTGCATTTATTATTTATGTTCTATGGCTATTTTGGCCTTGAAGATAAATAATGAAAACAAATTAAAGTACGTACTTTTAAACACTTAAGGCTAGAGTAAAAAATCATTAACATTGTTACTTTAAATTTTGAATTTGACTTTTAAACACTTATGGCTAGAATAAAAAATCATACTTACCTCATATATATGCGGGGTGGATCCGTGGCACCAAAAAACCCATTGACACAAGTTTTTAACCTCACATATATCTTAGCAAACCTCAAATAATCTTAGCAAAAAACCATATATATTCTCCCAAGGCAAATTAATCATATAGTTGAGATTATTGTGTGTCTCTGGATCCTCACCCTATATATATATACACAGAAATTCTCCTATCCAAACTTCTATATACACACATTGGAACTAGAAAAAAATATTTAAATGGAAAAACTTTCACTTTAGCTAAACAATATGAAATTATAGAATGAGTTTCTAAAATACGTACCCAAGAGGTTTACGTTTGCCGATATCATAATAGTTAGAGTTCTTTTAGCAATCCGTTGTTGTTAGTAAGGTTTGCTGAAATAGACATATGAGGGCTTGTGGAATGTGATGACATTGCAGTTGTTCCGCTTTTCCAGCAAAGAAAAAATGATGAAGCAATTTCAGGAACATATGCAAGACATCTATTGCAGACAAAGAAGATGCCTGGATTTTTAATGGAGAGGAAGGTGAAGAGAGGATAATTTGAACCTGAAGGGATAGAAAATGGTAAAAAAGGATAATTTAATGCTCCCAAAAAAATAATAAATAAATCTTTTTTTGGTTCCATAAGCATTTTCAACCTTTATATCATGAAATACCTAAAGGCTAAAAAGGTGCGTCAAAATTTGTGATTTTGTGTACATATATAATATAGAGCTTTTGTTGAGGGATCCGTCAAATAAGCTTATTTGAGGGACACTCTTGTAGGGCCCACTCCGCATTTTATTTCACTAATCAAAACCCATAGTGGTACAAATACGGTATGCATAGTTTTATCCAATTATAATTCCAAGTATATATTATATATGCAGGTGTTTTCATGGGTCCTGGACTATTGTTGCTACTCGTTGGTGCATGGTATGCGTACAAAGTCATAAAAAAAAGGAAAAACATTCAACGCAAGGAAAAGTTTTTCAAACGAAATGGTGGTTTATTGTTACAACAACAATTATCATCAGGTGAAATCAATGTTGAGAAAATCAAGTTGTTCAAATCAGAGGAGTTGGAGAAGTCCACTGACAAATTCAACATTGATAGAATTCTTGGCCAAGGAGGCCAAGGTACCGTCTACAAAGGAATGTTTGCAGATGGAAGAGTGGTTGCGATAAAGAAGTCTAAGATAATAGATGAAGGTCAACTTTCAGAATTCATCAATGAGGTTGTGATTCTTTCACAAATCAATCACAGAAATGTGGTTCAACTTTTGGGTTGTTGTTTAGAGACGGAAGTTCCACTCTTAGTTTACGAATTCATACCGAATGGAACCCTTTCCCACTATATTCATGAGCGGAATGAAGACTTTCCACTTACATGGAAAATGCGGCTACGAATTGCAACAGAAATTGCAGGAGCTCTATCGTACTTACATGGTGCAGCTTCGTGTCCTATATATCACAGAGACATCAAATCTACCAACATACTCTTAGATGAGAAATACACAGGAAAAGTTGCTGACTTTGGAACTTCAAGATCAATTGTGATTGGCCAGACACACTTGACCACCGTTGTACAGGGCACTTTTGGTTACCTGGACCCTGAATACTTCCAATCAAGTCAATTTACGGAGAAAAGTGATGTCTATAGTTTCGGAGTTGTCCTAGTTGAGCTCTTGACCGGACTACAACCAGTTTTTGCAGTAATCGGGTCACAGGAAAAAGAACACAGAAGTCTTGCCACTTGTTTCATTATTTCGATGGAGGAAGACCGACTATTTGACATTCTTGATGCTAGGGTTGTGATGGAGGGCTCCAAAACAGATATCACAACTTTTGCTAACCTTGCAATGAGGTGCTTGGATTTGAATGGAAGGAACCGCCCCACGATGAGAGAGGTCACGGCAGAGTTGGAGGCCATTCAAATGTTGATTGAAAAATCTTCTAATGCTCAACATAATTACAATGGGGTTGAACTTGCTATAAACGACACAAATGAGTATTTGGAGGTTGTTTCAAGTTCAACAGAGTCAGCCTCGGATGCGGGCACAAATTCAACTTCTGATGAATTTTGACGATCATCTTCTGAGAATTAAAACACTTGGGTCTTGTAAAATATGTTTGATTTGATGCTGTACACTATTATATGTTGTTTTAGATTATGATGTTCTGTGTAAGGTAATGTATGCTACGTACTATCAGTAATAATCTGAGAAGTAAAGATTCAGTGAATAAGCATTGGTTTGTTTAGGGTGGAGAGGGTTCTTGAGAATTCTAAGAGTTTAGGTGTCTAAGGGTTTATAATGACTCAACCCTATTGCTTTATGTCTAATGCCACTATGACATACACTAATCGTTCAACGGTCAAATGTTATTGTCCATACGGCTTGGAAGGAAGTCCCTATCTTCTCCAAGCTTGTCAAGGTAATAAATCTTCTAATTCTACTAACATGCAAGCTTCAAAACATGCATCAATATTGACCAGATCACTGCAAAACACTTTTTCTTAATTAATATTACATGGAAGAGAATGAAGCCGTCAAACATTGCTTGTCCTTAGTTTCTTGAGGCATTTCATCGAACAACTTGTCCTCGTTATTAAGAAAAATATCAGATCCACAATTGAGCTACTAGGGAATTTTAATGGTGTACAAAATGTTGGGTGGGTTCATTTACCTTCAATACCCAGATTAGTTCCACCACCATTGCTTGATCTGAACTAATTTTTATCTTTCAGTTTTCGTTTGATAATTGCACTTTGTTTATAAATAGTAATTAATACATGTTGAAATAAAAAAATTCATTGACAGCAAATTAAATGCTAGCCCAAGTTTAAAGAAGTTGGGCTCATAGCTAAATGGTTTTGTGGACTTGTTGGTAAATTGGTTTAGGCCCAAATGAATTAATATTGATATTTTTACAAGCAAATATTAATGTATATTGAAAGCAGAAACAGTTTCATGTACGTGAAGTGTGGAGTTGAGGGGGTGACTCTAATGGGAAGTTACTCCCACCCACACAGTACGTGAGGCCTTAACTGTTCCCACTCTGTTAGTTCCTCTGGGTCTATAAAAAGGGACCAAAGGAGGCAAGCGAGAGGAGAAAGGGGAAAAGACACCGAACTGCTACAGAAATCAAAAGAATAGAAGCAGGCAAAAGAGATATGAAGCTCTGTCACAATACCATTGAGAAGGTATAAACAAATTCATCTGAGTATCCTTTTATGTACAACTGACTTACAGGCAAAAAAAATATGTATGTGAGGCCATTGTACAGAAGCCTGAACTTCCTCCATGTTTGATATCAAGAAGTGTATCATATCAACAGAGACCTCAGCAGTGGAAAAATGTGAACAAATCCTCCCAAATTGGCAATAATTGTGCTACTTACACAAAGAGAGCTCTCACAAGGACCTCTCTGTTGTGAATTACAGATGGGCTTCTGCAAGAACCCCACTGTACCAAGTACTGTGATCACCTTGAGAGTGTCCATAGGCACATTGTGGTACTCAAAGAAGACCTTGCGAGTGTTCTTGAGTACCAAAAACAGAAAACATCAAAATCCCAACTGCTTTGTGCCCAACCCACCTTCAGCACAACGAAATTCCAAGTCTGCAAATTGGAAGACAAAAAGATGGCAAAGCGTGCTGCAAATGGAGAAATCAACAATCCTGTTTTAGTCTCACAGATTGGCATAAACAGAAGAAAATATATTAAAGGAGATGCAGAAATTACTGAGTGACAGAAAGCTTACAAAAGCTGATGATTCACACCCACGTTCTGTGCTTCAAAGTTTGCCAACAAAGAAAAATCCCAAGCCAGACACGAAAATTACTAAGCCAGCACTCCTCTGCAGCAAATTGCAAACAAAACCATAAAGGGTTCTCACTCTGTTACTGGCGGTATGATAGCCCTTCCCTAAAGATTTCAGTCTGCAATCAAGTGAAGAAAAAAATGCACCGAAGCATCAGACCCTTGTTGCCAAGAGACAAGAGAGAATCAGAGAATTCAAAATTGTCTTTGGACCCAAAAAAAATGCAGTCAAGTCTTCAAGGAAATTATGAAAACAAAATCACAAGCAAGATTCTAAAAAAAAGAGCTGATTTTTCTTCTCTCAACACCAAAGGCCAGACCCCAAATTAGTGTTTCAGGCAAAAAGTAAATGGCTCACCAAGAAGCCTCCTGTGTTGCTGTTGCTGAAGAATTCAAAAGTAACATAAGCCAAAAAGTTGAAGAAATCCCAGAAGCTGAAAAAGAAAAGTGACGAAAAGCAAATGACAAAGAAGAATGAAGACTCCTGTCGAAAGAGAAAAGGGGAGAAGAGTAAAAAAAAAAAAGGGAAAGTGGCCTCAGCCACTTCGTTGAGAAAGCTTTGGTGGTATTGTTGGCAACAATAAACAAAACTTAAAACTAGTTGGCCTCTGGGTGTGTGAACAAGCAAGGAAGATGGAAAGAAACAAAAAGACAAGGAAGAAGAAAAGCACAAAAAACAAAGGAAAGGGAAAAGTAGTAAAACAAAGCTCTGTACAAACAGACGTGGCTTCTCAAAATTCCAAGACTTTCAATTAGTAGTTTAATAGGCTACATGGTCTACTTTGACAGACATGAGTAAAGGAAAGGATTTACCTTGGTTTTGGCGTTTCAAACCCAAAGCTCCGTAGTGATTGTGGCAGATAAGTAGTTGAAGAGATATATATAATTTGGTCTAGTTTGAATTGATTTGAACCACTCAAGAAAAAGATGGGAGTGACTCAGTTTGGATTAATCTCTGCTACTCCAAATGGATATCGGTTTCAAATTCAATTGTCTCTCAAAGCTTTTCTCACATCGACTCTCTGTTTATGGGCCAATTAATATAAATGTTAAGGCCCGAAAACAAATTAATGGGCTGACAAAACAAATTACCCATTAACTTTCAAAAGCCCAAAATATTTAATGGGTGGTCCAAATAAATTATGTGGTTAATGGATTAATTTTTAAATCCTTAAAACCATATGTGAGTAAATTAATAGGCTCATTAAAATGCCTTTTAATTTTCTTTGGACATTAACAATAAAAATATGGTACAAAACCATTCCAAATTTTCACATGGGTCATCTACCCATGCAAATTTCAATGAGATCAAATTTAAATTTCTCAAACACACAAATTCTTTCAAAGGGGCATTCATTCTTTGAAAGACCAACCAAACGGTTGGAACTACGCCGGTTTGATCCCATCAAGGGTACGTAGGCAGTCTAGCATCCCAATAGACGCAACCGCAACCAAATCCCCACAAATCAAATATCTACCTTTACACAAATCAAGTCCGAACTACGTTGGTTTGATCCCTTTGAAAGGGTACGTAGGCAATCTAGAGATTCAATCTAGATGCAACCATCCCAAACACAACTCCATATCAAATCCCTGGCTTATTCAGCTAAATTCACTCAAACACCCCTCAATCAAATTCATTCAAATTCCCCTTTTTTGCAATGAGTCATCTATTCATTGCGAATCTTTGAACTACGAGTGGCTTGATTCCTGCAAAGGATACGTAGACATCCTGAGGTTGAACTTGAGAGCAGCCGCAAAACCAAACACATACATTCTGTTTCTTTATGATGGAATCAAAGGGTTTTTCCTTGTAGCGAGGGATTGTAATTAAGAGACTTGCGTCTCGAATGGGTCGAACCTAAAATAATAAAACCTCATTAATTGATTAGTGGTGGTGAAATTATGTTTGGAGGTTTACAGTTTTTATGTAACAATACATAAAGGAAAATACTTCTCTTCCTTCGTAAGTAGGAACTCCTACATTTTTGTCAATAGCGATATGAAATGTGTCTAGAAGTTTTTCTTTTTGTGTTTTTAATTAATTATTTTCACAAATGTGTCAAACTATGATTTGCACAAAGGAGGAGAATCTCCTTTAAGGGAAGGAGGCAAGTAATTCTATATAGAAATATAATTCTTATGTTTTTTGTTTTCCTTTAGCGTTGGCTAATATATTCCATTTCAGATATTGATGAATGCAAGGTCCTTAAGGAGTGTTATAATGCTGACTCTCCAAAATACCCTTTTTTCGGCCATGGAACATTAGTAACGCTTTATGTGAGAATATTGTTGGGGGTAACATATGCTCTACTCAAGTATAACTGGCGCTAGCTGTGAGTATTCATGCTACTTCAGAAACAGGCCTCCAACCTCTCGGTCAACCTATTCTTTTAGGTAAATATATGCTTTCCTATATATACTTACTCTCCTTCATTTGGTTGATTATGGAAATTCATTTCACAGGTATACAAATGTGTTTGCATAATTATGTAGGTCTTGGAACTAGCATTGGACTATTGTTACTACTTACTCGTGCATGCTGGGCATACAAAGTCATAAGGAAACAGAGAGACATCAGGCGCAAGAAAATGTTTTTCAAACGAAATGGTGGTTTGTTGTTAGAAAAACAATTATCATGAGGTGAAGTTAATGTTGAGAAAATCAAGTTGTTCAAATAGAAAGAGTTAGAGAAGTCCACCGACAATTTTAGCGCGGATAGGAATCTTGGCCAGGGAGGTCAAGGTACTGTTTACAAAGGTATGCTGGCTGATGGAAGAATTGTTGCTGTGAAAAAGTCTAAAATAGTGGACAAAGGCAAACTTTCAGAATTCATCAATGAGGTTGTCATTCTTTCACAAATCAACCACAGAAATGTGGTTCAACTGTTGGGTTGTTGTTTGGAGACCGAAGTTTCACTTTTGGTTTATTAATTCATATCAAACGGAACCCTTTCCCATTATATCCATCAGCAGAATGAGGACTTTCCACTTACATGGAAAATGCGTTTACGAATTGCCACAGAAATTGCAGGAGCAGTTTAGTACCTGCACTCTGCAGCTTCAGTTCCCATTTATCACCGCGACATCAAGTCGACCAACATACTCTTAGATGAAAAATATAGAGCAAAAGTTGCTGATTTTGGAACTTCAAGATCAGTTGCCATTGACCAAACTCACCTCACCACACATGTGCATGGGACATTTGGTTACTTGGACCCTGAATATTTCCAATCTAGCCAATTCACGGAAAAAAGTGACGTAGCTTTGGTGTTGTCCTTGTTGAGCTTTTTGACGGGACAAAAACCAATTTCTGTAATAACAAGGTCGACAGAAGTAGAAGATCAAGAAATAGAAGTCTTGCCACATATTTTAATATTTCAATGCAGGAAGATCGTCTATTTGACATACTCGATGCTCGAGTTTTGATGGAGGGTTCTGAAACAGAGATCAAGTTAATTGCTAACCTTGCCAAAAGATGCTTGAGTTTGAATGGAAGGAACCGCCCTACAATGAGAGAGGTCGCAGCGGAGTTGGAGGCCCTTGAAATTTCAGAAAAGACTGAATATTCTCCACAAAAGTTTGAGCGGAGTGAATTTTCGAAAAAAGATTCAATCGAACATTGGGATGTTATTATAGGTCCAACAGGAACATGGTCAGCTTCAGATGATGGTCCAACTTCATCATTACTTTAACTTCCACTATTATCTATCAAGACATGGTGAGGAATAAAACATATACAATACATATATATATATATTATATTACATTGTAATGCACTTATGTTTCAATTATATTTTCTTTTGGAATATAATGTTCTTCTGTAATGTATGCTACTACTACCATAAGTAGTAAAATCTTCTTTTTGTCCACAGTTGTGGGAACCGAATTTTAGCCAAATCCTAGGTCAAATATTTCCTTCCATTTAGGGATTATTTAGTCTAATTTGGGGTTATTTGATTTAATTGGCAATTACCTTAATTAGGGATTTGATCTCTCCAAATTGGGGAAGAATCATTTTCATATATGGAGTTATTCTTCCGAAATCATAGCCTCCGAGGCTCATATAAATACATGTCTATACCAAAGCTTGAGGTAATTCTAAATCTACGTCTAAACTTCTGTCTCAAAATACTGTAGAAATTCTATCTCCAAAACCCCAGCCGCCATAACTCTTTCTCCCTCTCACACAAGGCTCTGGCTACCATACACAGTTTCGGCCACTCAATTCACACCATACATACATCTTCGTACCCTTTTAGTTAACTATTGTTTTCCTACAAACACTTGAACTAATTTAGGCACCGCCTTTGGCTAACACTCCCTGGGTGTGGTCCTCTTATTTCGATTTATTTTGCAGGGAGAAAGAGACAATGAATAGGAAGACGGAATCTAGACGAATATTCCTGTGGGACGAAAATCGCTCCCACAACAGTGATAAGGGTTTGAACAGGAGTTCAAATATGAATAATGCTACTTTTACCACATTTGTATACCACATCTCTATACCATCTTATGTGGCAGCTGAGTTGGACAGCTACATCAATTAAAATCATTTAATATTTTATTTTATTTTATGATTTATTCCAATATTTGTTTTTCTAATTGTCTTAATTAAAATACACTTAATTGATTTAATTGATGTGACATATAATATGCACATACCACATCATGTGGTATAGAAATGTGGGATAAAAAAGGAAGCTTCACTAATATACCCAAAATATAGGCTGAAATTATAAAAAAACCCTACATGAAAAACACTTTATAAACACACCCAAAACCCATTTATTAAATAACAAATTAGTGTTGAAGTTCCAATAAATTACAGCACTGCCACTATCAAGCCTAACAGAAAAAAAACTCGAAAGCACCCAAAATAACCCCAACTCAATTTTATAAAAAAGCCCAAAATATGGAATTCATTTTATAAACATACCCAAAAACATTTTCTACATAACAAATAAGTTTTGAACTTCCTATATATTACATCTCTGTCATTGATTAACTTAAAACAAGCCCAATACAAAAGACACAAAAAAACCCAAAACAAGCCCAGCAAGCCCAACCCAATTTTTTTTGTTTTTTTGAAGATTTCAGCACATTGTTAATACCATTTTATAGAAGTACATTGTTAATACCATGTCATAGAATTACATTATTAATACAATTTTATAGAAAACATAGTTAATACTATTTCATAGAAAACATTGTTAATACTATGTCATAAAAGTACATTGTTAATACTATGTCATAAAAGTACATTGTTAATATCATGTCATAAAAGTACATTGTTAATACAATTTCATAGAAAACATTGTTAATACCATTTCATACAAAAAAACTCAAAAAAAAAAAAAAAACCCAGCAAGACATCCGATATCCTATGCTGAAACCACCTCCAATTGTCCATAGTTTCACCAGAAATAATCGCAAAGGCAAAAGGAAATACCTCTACAAGAAAAAGAAAAAAAAAAAAAGGACACTATTAATACTATGTCATAGAACTATCTTCCTAATAAAAATCACATTCTGCATATCATAAACTTCAAGTGCATAGCTATATATAGAGCAAAATATGGACTATGCTTTGTTATTGAAAAATATGTTAATATTATAGAAAATTAGTAAAATACAAATATTATGTCATAGAAGTACACTGTTAATACTATGTCATAGAAATCAACTTAGTTGCAGGATATGAACAGT